TGAGCACTATGTACAACTAATGATTATATTTAACTTAAACCCTATATGAATGAATGACATATACATAGAAAAAATTCAAAACTGACTATATATTTTCAATAACCTTAGCTATTACGTAATAAGTAATGTCTAAAACCTACGTATGAATATATACTGAAATATTTTATCACTTCACTGACTGTCCAGTTGGTGATAAATCGTTACTTTCAATCGTGGAATTACAACTCAATGGTTGTAAAATTTACATTCATCAAGACTTCTTAAATGCTACTTATTTTTAGTAAGAGAAAATTCTCTTATGAATCCCTTTATAACATTGAGGAACTGTCATATTTCATTCTTATTTTGTTTAAACATATAAACATTGGCACAAGGCGGCTTCAAATGTGTATGCCCGACACAAATCATTTGATTTGTGTGAAGGTTGTGATACTGCCTGGGTGACCAAACCAAAGTAGGTGGTTTTCTTGGTGGACCACACCCTGATCCTTCATCCTAAAGGTCTGATCAACAAGGCGGTGGACCAACGTTAGAAGGTGCAGTCTGATGGTAGCCAATGACCGATAATTGGTTCATACACCTACTTCAGTTTGGGCACCGGGGAAGTATCACATTCCACACACAAATCAAGTGACTTGTGTGGCGCATATGTATTCCGTGCCTCTTTGTACCAATATTTATGTGTTCAAATATAATAAATAGACAAAACACCATTTGTTCTCTCAGGGCTCTGGAGACCATGTGCACTGTTGGTTTGGAGTCAGGGTATCCCAACTCCCTTAGGTGGATCCTTCATATCCACTAACCCGTTTAAAGCACCGGTTATTCACTTTTTGTCTTCTCAATTTCGTAAACAACATCCCTGTTGTGAGAAGGTAGTGAGTAGGATTTATTTGGCGGTGGTTCTATGCACGTGGCCATATGAGGGCATTTCGAGAAGGAGAGCTGATTCGATCGTATGAATGATTATTATTGAATGATTGCTGTCGAAATGTATATGTCGCCTATCGTCGTATATAATCATCGAATTAAATCACGTTAGTCAATTTCGGAATTAAATAAGTCAAATAACGAGAATGGATTTTTGAATACATATATTTCGTATATAAAGCGAATGGAATAGAAAGAAGACGAAAGACGCGGAGTGGAGATGGCGGGTAAGCGAACTCCCCTTTAGTCAAGCGTTAATCAATATTTATAGTCACACAAAAATAAGTTACAGCCATGCGATGAGTAATGGGATAAGAAATGTACACACATCTACGCGCTCATATAAAATTAGTCAAGATTGATAAGCGAATAATTAACAAGGTCAGAATGTGACTCAAGTAGAATGAATAGAATGGGCTGTCCGAAACCTAGAATAAGGTATATGGGCTTAACATAATAACCGACACTACATGATATACATTCATGTAGGGGCATCCCTACCTTAATTCAGTTAGCATTCTTTTGAAAGACTTGTGTGATTCAATATTAAAATGATTGAGTTACTTACAATCTTCTGATAAGTCAACGCTATTCAATGTTATATTCATATAGTATTTAGATTGATTTTAATGTAATAGTGTGGTATGTACTACTGATGTCGTCAGATATAAGTAGTATTTATCATCAATCGAAAGTGAAATACCTGTGGGCAGAAGGTTATGAAGATCAAATAAAAAAGAATGAGAACTGTAAGTGATTGCTATGGAAATGAAGGAACAATGAAGTCTGAGACGATTGATTAACACTTTTCTAAATGAATTATTTACTGTATGGTTCTCAGATTTTATTAAGATGTTCTGTAATTTTATATTCTAATTCATTCGATTACCCCTACTTATGTACTCGTTCACTACAATAAGCATGTTTCCGATATTTAAAATTAAATTATTAACATGAGGTGAATTTACAATTCAACCTATTCAGTATTACATAGTTAATATCAGAGTGGGGGTTTATGAAGATTGTATTAAATTAATAATTGAATTCATGAGTTGATTTAAGCTAGACCACCCAAATGCGTCACAAGATAAGCCCTCACATGAAATCCTCAAGGCCAAAGGAAAAGAGAAAGACCAAAGAACACATTACGCCGGGAAATAGAGATAGACATGAGAAAAATGAACAAGAATTGAATGGAACTAAAAAAAAGGCCTAGGACAGAGTGGGTTGAAGAATGCTGATCGGCGGCCTATGCTCCATTGGGAGTAACAGGCGTAAGTAAGTAAAGTAAGTAATCATGGGAAACCTGGATGTACTAGATGACCGTTTCGTCCTAGTATGGGGCTCCTCAACAATGCACATTCACGATTTCCCATACGGGATCCGAACTTAAGACCTTCAGTATCTCGTGAATGAACACCGTCCAATGCTTCCGAATTTTCCATGGTGGTCTATTCTAAATCGACACATAGTTAATAATCTATTTTGCTTCAAATGTATACACATACACATACACACGCAATTTCATATCTCTATGCCCAAAATGCACAAGAACCAGTCATCTTGAATAATTATGTGTAATTTTTTTTCATTGTCTTCCAGAGAAAATTATGTTGGTTTTACAGACGGCACAATAAATTAGTTCAATGATCAAAGAACAGTTTTTTTTTAATTTTTACAGATGAAGAAAAAAACTTAAGAAAATAGATGAATAAATTTATTTTAGGGTTTAATAATATTTAATGTGGTTGAATTCATGAGTCAATTGAAGCTAGACGATCATTGAAAACTTGAAAGAACTAGACGATTATTTCATCCTAGTACAGGATTCCAACAATGTGCATCCACGATCTAGCAAACAGGATCCGAATCTAGCATTTACAGCCTCGTGTGCGAACGACGTTCAGTGCATTCAAATTTTCCATGATGATTTAGCTTTAATTGACTCATGATCTCAACTATTAAATTACTATGATATCTACAAAACCCCTCCTGATACTAATCAACATGTAGTCATTAGTGACTGGCATCAAAAGGTATTTCCTGGAGTTCTAGTGAGAAGCAGTGACTAATGGAGTTCAACCAGGTCTGTTGTGAGATAGTAACTCACTGAAGACAATGATGGACGTGTCGCTCAATTTTGTGGATTGGTTGAGATTAGACATTAATACCGTTGAATGCTGACTCAGTGATCTTGAAGTCAAATGATCGCGCGCGAAACTGATAAGTCCTGGGTTCGGATTCCCACGAGGCGGGGTCCTGGATGTGCACTTCTGCGGAGTTCCACAGTAGGATGAAACGGCCGTCCAGTGCTTCCAGGTTTTCCATGATGATCTAGCTTCAATTAACTCATGAACTCAACTATTAAATTACTATAATATCCACAAAAAACCCTTTTTAATATAATACTGAATAAAGTCATTCATAATAACAAATAAAATATAGAATCCATTTGTAAAAATGAAGTTTAATTTAACATGAATCAAAGTGACTATTTGATGACATACCTTTTCATTATTAGATTAAATTACACATGCTAATCGACACAGTTCTAAACATGAATTCAGGTCAAAGAATAAAATATAAATATCATGAAAAGGAAATACATTTTAGGATAGAGTAAAGTTAAATATACAGAAATGAATTAATGGGTAACAGATAGATTGAAATCTATAGGACTTAATAATTGAATTGAGTAATAATTACTCATAATTAATAAATAAGTAATTAATTAATAGTTTAGGGGTTGTGGAGATTGTTAAGTTTTTGATTGAGATCATGAAATGATTGATGTTAGACCAACATTGAAAACCTGGAAGCACTGGACGGCCGCTTCATCCTATTGTCGGACTCCTCAGCAGTGCACATCCACGATCCCAATCGCGGGATTCGAACACAGGGCCTTCAGTCTCGCACTCGAACGCTTAACCTACCGGATAACTCAGCCGGCATCCAATGGTGTTAATGTCTAACCTCAACCAGTCCACGAAGTTGCGCAACCATCTTTCAATGTACTGAGGTAGACACCTGTTTCTACCCGACACGGATTAGCTCCATTGGTCGCGGCTTCTCACTAGAACTCTGAAAATTGTCTCATGAAGCTAGTCACTAGTGAGCACATGGTAATTATCAGTTTAGGGGTTGTGGAGATTGTTAAGATTTTGATTGAGGTCATGAACCGATTGATGTTAGACCACCAATAGGACGAAACGGCCGTTCAGTGATTCCAGGTTTTCATTGGTGGTCTAACATCAATCGGTTCATGATCTCAATCAAAAAAATAAATAATTAATATTAGATAGGGTGGTTTGTGGAGATTGTAGTGGTTTTAGATAGTTCGATTCATCAGTAGATGTAAGTTAGACAACCATTGAAAACATGGAAGTACTGAACGACTATTTCGTACTAGCATGGAATTCTTCAGAATTACGAATCCACAATTCCTACATGTGGGACTCAAACCTAGGACCTTCAGTCTCGCGGACTAACGATTAGCCTCTGGAACAATGAACTGGCATCCAATGGTGTTAATGTCTAACTTCAGGTTTTCAATGGTGATCTAATATTGATCGACTCTTGAATTCAACTATTAAAACTATCACAATCTTCACAAATCCCCATGATGATAATAATCATGCACTCACTGGTCGCTAGTCACTGGCTTCAAGATGGATTTCTTCAAGTCCTAATAAGAAGCCGTGACCAAAGGAGTCCAATCCGTATCACATGGAGACAGGTATTCACCGTAGACAATGGATGAATGGTTGCACAAGATCATGGATCGATTGAAGCATCACGTTAACACCGTTGGATGTCGACTCAGTGGTCTAGACATTAGGCGCTCTTGTGCGAGACCTGTGTTCGAGTCCCACGTTTGGGATTGTGGATGAGCACTGCTGAGGAGTTTCGTACTAGGACAGAATGGTCGTCCAATTCTTCCTGGTTTCCAACGGTGATCTAGCTCAGATTGACTCATGAATTCAACTATTAAAATAATTAATACACTTATAATGTCATAAATCAATCGTATTTATTTATCTAATATATTTGTATTGTATTTTTTATTTCAGAATTTTGTCTACCCCGAGGTGATTCATTCTGTACTGAACTTGTCCCGAATAGTTTCTGTTCAATTGAAAAAAATGAATGTTTCTGTAAATATGGTTATTATTCAATTCAAGAAGATGATGGTATCATTTGTAAAACATGTAAGTTGAACTGTTTATGTATACTTACTTACGCCTGTTACTCCACGTGGCGGAGCATAAACCGCCTATCAGCACAGATACAAATATCTTCTCATAACATTCTTAGCTAAGACTTTCAGCTTACTTAATGTGCTATATGATGCATAACAGTGATGTACTGGATACTAGAATCTCTCTTGTTTAGCTTTGTTTTCCTGTAAGCATATGAACAAAGTAGGAACGACTATATTTTCAAAATACAAGGAATCTGTAGAATTATGGTCTACTTTCGTTATTAGTACTGCTCTAATAATAGATTTAATCGTAAAATTGTACATTTGTCGTGATGTGACTACCTAATGTAGAAGATCTTACGTGGAAGTCACATCATTGTCTACACGGACTTGTCGTATCGTGATTCGCGTCTCTAAAGGACACATTTAGGCTAGAGATAGAACAATATATTTAATATAAATACAAGAGATAAGTTATACAAGAATGATCACGCCTGCAAGGCTGAGCCATGCCATCTGATTGAATTGAATGAATCCTTCCCGCCTTTTCTATAGTTAACCTTCTCTTTTTGTCAATTGTTGAATATAAGTCTTTTCAGTAATTATATGTTCGACTTCAAAGGTCGTATGGGTCAAATGCCACTACAAATTCATTTCGTTGGTTGAGACTATAGTTTATGAATGACCTTTGAGCGACGCTAAAGTGACCTTGAGAATGTCCGCCTACATACTACGGCTAAATAAGGATTATAAACCAGCGTCAGGAATTAGGATTAATATTTACAGTTGATGGTTAGGGTTAGGACTCAGATTTCGGGTTTTCATCACGAACTGACATCAGCTATAATGTCGAAACTCTATTTATCCGAATGGATGAGTGAATTTCTCGCCATAATTCTAGACCTGTTATCGTAAATCTGATTGGTTTGTCCACAAATTATAGTCTCACATTTCGTTGGTTTCTCTTCAGCTACATATACAAACTAAGTTGCCTAGTTATTTCCAGTTGATATATTTGTACAATATAATTCGAACAGTCTGATCACACATAATATACTTGTTAAGACATTATAAACGAAAAATAAACGGTCAGCCAGACACATTAAAAGATAAGGAGAAACTAAGATAACGATAAAGTACACGATGTGGAAAATCACGTCGGACATTAAATCAGTATTATCAAGGTAGGTTAAGGGTAAGTACAACTCGTTTTTGAATACATAAAGGGGATTTCAGTTCTCGTATAACCAAGGCTTCAATGAAACTTAGTAGAAGCGTTTGAAAGCTTTTGTACAAAACTATGAAGGCTGATTTGATATCAACAGTATGACCGGTCTCAATCAAATATTTCTCAACGGAGTAATATATTTGTCTATCCCGTGACCTTATTTGATCATTGGAATTCATTTGTTTTTGTAGGCATTTAGGTATTCGTCCACCTACCCTTACTTGCAACTCACGATGTACATGTTACCGCACATACATGTTAAGTGACAAATGTAATGGGAGATAACATAATCGCTTACATACTGTTTGAGGTTTTGCTGAAGCAAAGATCTTGACTTTTTGATAATTACTAGTTGAACTGTATAACATATCTTATTGATAGCTAATTTAAGTCTTGGTTTCAACATGAGACTATTTGAGTTATCTCTGAATGGTATGATGTAGAAAAAACTTAGCGCTTGTCTTGTGATACAGTTTCATGATTTCCATATTGTATGTCCTATCCACTTCCAGAGTCTTCTCCTAACTTCCTTCTCAGCTCGTAGTTGGTTTGTTCTCTCCCACAGAAGGCTGTTGCTTATGGTATTCGACCAACATTCAGTATCTTACGTAGGCAATTGTTTATAAATACTTGTACCTTTTTGATTATGGTTGTGGTAGATCTCCAAGTTTCGGCTCCGTACAATAGAATTGTTTTGACGTTCATATTGAAGATTCTGACTTGAATGTATGTTGACAGTTGTTTTGAGTACCATATGTTCTTTAACTATAGGAATTCTTTCCTTACTTTGTCAATCCTCACATTTACGTCTGCATCGAACCCTCTTTGTTCATCGACGATGCTACCCAGATACGTGAAACTTTCCGCCTCTTCCAGAGTTTCTCCATCATGTGTGATTGAGTTGCTGTTCTCCATATTGTATTTGAGGATCTTACGTTTTCCTTTGGGTATGTTGAGGACTATTGATGCAAAAGCTGTTGCTACACTGGCTGTCTTGACCTACATTTGTTGGCGTGTCTGAGACATAAGAGCTATCTTGAATACGTTGAGTTTGTCACTATCTTTTACACACTACACACAAATTATTCATTGTTAGCTGTCATTTCTATTCTAACATTATGTTAGCGATTGAAATGAATTAAACCTCATAACTTGTATGTATAGCTGAAGAGAAAGCAGTGAAAATCAAAGAATTCCGAGTATTCTACGAATATCATCGGGTTTGCTTTGTATATAAAAACAAATATCGATACTACAGGTCTTTTTTTAGGAAAAATATCAATTTTTGTATGTAAATATTCCCGGATGCATATGTATTGGTCGTTTGGATCTTCCTATTCATGTAATTGATCCATCTGTTTTGGCACTTGTACATCTTATGTGAATCACCATGATATTGCACACATGCTAGATTCCATTGTCAGCTATCATCCATCTTTTCTTATGATCCTTGTGACCTGATAGCAATATTGAGGCAGTCCCACAGAATGTATAAATACCTAAAAAGTCTAATTGATTGGAGCACTAAACATCAATCGAATGATCCTAACATCAAATACAAATAAAGTTTATGAATTAATCCCGCGAGTACTATGTTTGAAGCGATCACGAGTCCATCTACTTTGTGAATGGAACAAAGACTCTGTGACCAAAGATCAATAAGCTAGCTATTCTGATGCGTCTCAGGCCCACTAACTAGAAAGATAAGTCCATGTTCAAAACGGTGAAATATAATCCAAAAATAGCCAGAAGCACAAGCAATAACAACAGGCACTAATCAAGCGTATATAAACAGCATAAAATTTTCCTTGGGAAGAGTTACAAAATAGCATACTGATAAAAACAACGAACTAATAGTGTTTAAGAATCTCCCAAGTGGGAAACATGACATGAAGGTGAAAAAGACCGCTTTTGCCGCGAAAAACAAGCATTCAAATTTTCAAAATAAAATTACAAAAATAAGATAATTACCAAGTGAGTTCCAAGGATCTAACATCCCCAAAAGATAGTATCTACGTTAATAACAAAAAAATAGAATACCACTAATTCGTGGTTGCCTCTTCCAGCCAAACAAGTTGGTGAAGCCAAGTAGGCCCTTCTGGAGAGAAACAGGCCACATCGATGCACGGCACAACTACCGGGGCTAGAATAGCTGTTTATGCAACCAGTTGGAGTTTACTTTGTAAGGAGCAACCCCGTACGTAACATGCATCACTTTTGTTAACACTCTGTCGTTTTTTCATCCAAGAGTAATTGTGCTGTGTTTCTTTGTGGAGTTCATAATCGGTTTAAGCGTATCGGTCAAATGGGTGATTAGCCCGATTTCTACCAACCGGGTTACCACTCACGTTAGTTCATGGGTTATCCATCCTACTATTCAGGAGGTACGGCGCAGACGTGTGAGTCAGATTCTGCCTCTCATACCGCTAATCTACAACATACTTACTTACGTACTTACGCCTGTTACTCCCAATGGAGCATAGGCCGCCGACCAGCATTCTCCAACTCACTCTGTCCTGGGCCTTCTTTTCTAATTCCATCCAATTCTTGTTCATTCTTCTCATGTCTATCTCCATTTCCCGCCGTAATATGTTCTTTGGTCTTCCTCTCCTCCTTTGACCTTGAGGATTCCATGTGAGGGCTTGTCTTGTGACGCAGTTGGGTGCTTTCCTCAATGTGTGTCCTATCCACTTCCAGCACTTCTTCCTGATTTCTTCCTCCACTGGAATCTGGTTTGTTCTCTGCCACAATAGGCTGTTTCTAACAGTGTCTGGCCAACCGATCCGAAGTGTTTTGAGTAGACGACTGTTAATAAACACCTGTATCTTCTGGATGATGGCTTTCGTAGTTCTCCAGGTTTCCGCCACATACAGTACAACTGTCTTGACATTTGTATTGAAAATTCTGAATTTGGTGTTGTTTGACAGTTGCTTTGAGTCCCGGATGTCCTTCAGTTGTAAATACGCTGCTCTTGCTTTACCTATCCGCGCCTTCACATCTGCATCAGATCCGCTGTGTCCATCAATGATGCTGCCTAAATATGTAAAGGTTTTTACATCTTCCAAATCTTCTCCATCAAGTGTGACTCAGTTGTTGCATGTTGTGTTGTATCGGAGAATTTTCCTTTTCACTTTGTGTATGTTGAGACCTACTGCTGCTGAAGCTGCTGCCACACTGGTCGTCTCCTCCTGCATTTGTTGTTGCGATTGCGACAGGAGGGCCAGACCTTTTGCGAAGTCTATATCGTCCAGCTGCATCCCATATGTCCACTGTATCCCGCGTTCCCCTTCAGATGTTGACGTCTTCATGATCCAGTCGATCACCAGTAGAATGAGAAAGGGTGAGAGTAAGCAACTTTGCCTGACACTGGTCTTTACCTCGGACGAGTATGTCAATTGTTCTCCATGCACAATTATGCAGTTTAATCAATCATAGGAATTCCGTATGATATTGACTATCTTCTAAGGCACGCCGTAGTATCGTAGAAGCTTTCATAGTGTTGTTCTGTCCACGCTGCTAATATATAAGACTCATATAAAATTTGAAACAAAAACATATTCATTATTTGAGTAGATACATTAATTGATGTTTTCCATGTAATTTTTAAATTTAATTGAACAATGAAAAAGAAAGTGTTTTCCATGATCCCTTTGATCACTCTGAATTTAATTTACCATGTTTACTTAATTGATTTTTAATGAAGAAAAAACTGAAAAAATGTTTTCATTATATAAAGTTACTTATACTAATATCAAAGATGTTGTGTTTTTTTTAATTGT